TTTCCAGAAAAAAACAACGTTGCAAAACCATTGTTTGATATCTTGTCGGGGCGTTCGATCTGGAAATCTTCACGGATCTTACGGTTGACGAAAGGCTGTCAGCACGGAGCCGCCAGACCGCCAGCCCGGGTCCAGACGACGGGCGGCGACGAGGCAATGACGGGGCGGCGGCGAGGCGGCGACGGGGCGGCGACGGCGAGCACGGAGCCGCCAGGCCGCCAGCCAGGCCCATTTCCTTTTTTAAATATATTTTAATTTTATCTCCATATATAATAGTATCAATAATAATAATTATTATTATAATAATAATAATAAAGAAGAAGAAGAAGAAGAAGAAGAAGAAGAAGAAGAAGAAGAAGATAGTACTAATAAATACGAATAATAGTAATAATAATAAATAATTAATTCGAAATATTTTTGTATATATGTTTCAATATATATATATATAAGAATGAAGTGCAAGCACGGTTTCCGGAATAAACGTTCGGAGGTCCGCGCGGATGTTTTGGATCGGCGCCGCGCTCCCTCCTAGGCGCGCGGAGCGCGCCAGGGACGGCACTGGAGGCCCAGCCGAGGGGCGCCAGCGCCGATCCGAAAAATCCGCGCGGACCTCCGAAATTTCTACGGTGGGGGCGTTGGTTAAGAAATGTACCCAGGAGGCGTCAGACCCTGCAGGATTCCTTATCGGATGAGGGCGGCGGTGACATCCACAGCCAATCCACGATTGGAGTTCCACCGGCTCCCAAACCCTGGCTTCGTTATCCAATGGTTCCTTATTCAATATTCTCACAGTATGTTTATGTCATTACGGATTCCCCGGTTCTCGGGATCCCATGACTTGTTTCTTAGGCTCAGCGTCGGGATGCAGCTCGCAGCGGCAGCGTGCTGCCCGCACGGCCCTCCTTGTGGGGCCTCTGGGCAGCTGCGGAGGTGGGGGGCAGCGTTGCTGCCATGCCGCCCACCCCGCGTGCGCCAAGACCCGTACGCGGCTATCTTGCCAGAAACTGAATTCGGACCGATCTTCGGATTTGGGGACGGACAACTCCTCCCCGCCCCCATATCGCACTGCCGAGATGAGACATCACACGTGTTGTGCGACAACTTGTACCAAAAAAAAGCGAGGCGCCCGAAAGAAAAACCAGATCCCCTCGCGCTGTGAAAAAAAACAAAACAAAACATGAACAATAGCCAGGCAACAAAAACGACGGAAGGCTGTTGGCAACTTTCGGCCTTTGGGGGGCCTCTTCGGGCCCGCGGAAGCGTCAAAAGCGCTTCGGGGTGAAAAAACGCTCCCGGGGAAGGGGTCCCGACCTCTGTGGGTCACGTTGTGACAAAATCACGGCGCCGGATGGGAGGCATCGGATCGAGGGAGGGGATGTTTTCGGGAGTTGCCGTGGGCTCTCGGATGTTCTCGGGCCCTGGAGTGCCCTCCATCAGCTGCGCTTCGTCGAGAGGCGTCCAGGGGCGCAAGGATCGTTCCGCACGGCAGCGTGAGGCCCGAGCTACGCCCCGAGAGCTGACCGCCCATCAGGTCTCCAGATGTCTACCTGACAGGGTCCACTTCGGTCCGATCGATCCGATCTGGATAGGTATAGTTTCTAGACGGCTCGATCCGATTAAATTATGATGTTACGATGCGGCCCGATGCTCGCGTGGCGTTGCTGTGCATCATGGTGCAGCCGATCCGGTTCGATTTCGACTCCGTGCCGACGCAGCCCGATCCGACGCACATTCCGATTGGATCCGATTTACCGATTCGACGTTGATTCATCTTGCCATGAGGCCATGATTTCTTTCTACTCTCGCAGTCTCGACTTCCAGAAGTCCTGTTCGCGCGCTGCACGGCACGCGCGCGTGGATGCCGCAGCGTCTTTTGCCCAGGAAAGGGCCTGGAGTTCGAAACGCGTCGCCGTTGAAAGAGTGCTTGGGATGTTGTCGTCGTCTTCCTTTTCCTCCTCCTCCTCCTCCTCCTCCTCCTCCTCCCCCTCCTCCTCCTCATCGTCATCACTATCATCATCATCATCATCATCATCATCATCATCATCATCATCATCATCATCATCATCATCATCATCATCA